ACACACACACACACACACACACACACACACACACACACACACACACACACACACACACACACAGATATATATATTTGTGTGTGTGTGTGTGTGTGTGTATGTATACATATATATATATATGTATATATGTGTATATATGTGTGTGTGTGTGTGTACCTATATATGTATATATATATGTGTGTATGTGTGTGTGTGTGTAGGGAGGCCGATTTTGCGGTGGAGTGCAGACAGGGCGCGTCTGACACGATGTGGTAATCTTGGTAGTGGTGAAGGTGCGACAGACTTCTTGTTAATTTGTAGCGGTTTATTACAAAGAGAGTACGGGCAGAGGTTCGGTCCGGTTCGCGAGCTGGAGGCTGTCTGTCTGTCGCTCGCAGGCGACCCTCCTTTATACAGGTTGAACTAGGAATTCACAAGGGTTACGATGTACTGGGAAGTGTTGAGGAAGGAAGTGATCGTGTAAACGGGGCGACGTCACGAGACGGAAGGCCCGCGAATGTCGCATCCGCTGTCGTGTTGAGCAAAGGTATTGGTTTGTAGAGATTGGTGTTACTGTATTGGATATATATATTTATTAGTTAATAGTGTTATACGTATGGCAATAGTAGGATAAGGGAAGGAGTCTGCTACGAGAGGTCCCAAGGGAGTCCTTTAGCTAAAGGGTTATGTGCGACCCTCAAGATCCATTAGCGGGCCTCCCTGGGGATAGGCTAGGTGTGTTATGAAGTATAAAATGTATATGTAGGTACAACATACCTATAAGATAGGTATACGAGGGGATACAATAAGCAAATGTACAAACACAGTCAAGCGTAGGCAGTGAGGGGATATACGAGGCTAAGTGCCGACGGGGCCAGCCTCCCCAGTGCTGACGCTGACAGGCAGTCTGCGTGTCAGGGTCCTAATCACGATGCACCGATACAGTACGAAACCAAACACGACGGCCAGTATCCCTGTAAGGTAACAGTAACGCAGTACTGCTACATAAACCTGGTCACGGGACAATTCCAGGTCACTGTCCCTTGGAGACCTGATCTGCACCTCCCTTATTGCATGATTTACCTGATGCGAGCACCACCTGGCCACCCACGCATCGTACACCGGGCATGTATGTGGTAGCGGCCAAAGCGGGGTGAGCGGGGGAGTCCAGGTCACGGCACTCGCATACGAGAAAAAAACAAGTTGTTAATACTGGTGTATAAATCAACTAGATTTGCACTATAATTTATCTGTATTCACACATAGCTAATTATCAGTAATGCAGGAGTACTTCATATCCACAGTACTTTATACTGAACTTTTCATCACTAATTAACCAAGGTAAATGAGGAATACCAATGCGCTGCTTCCGGTTTATTTTCGTCAAAGAGCCTAGCTACATGTTCACCACCCTTGCACCAGTCGCTAAAAATCCAAACATATACAGTGGTGAATTCCCGGCAAAATACATAACACTAACCAGTGACCTTTGTTGGCTATAGCAGCGGGTTCCGAGCAGTAAGGAGGTGAGAACAGATCTGCCGGTACTCTCAAAGTACCTGGGGGGTATCTACGCCCCCTAGCCAGGGTATTGGCTAAAATGCTCGACGACATGGATACCCGTGAGTGGCTGCCTTGTCACGGTTTATGACGTCACTAATGACGACAGACCACTGGCATGACGTCACTAGCAGACGCCATTACGAATACACCTAGATTTACACAAATTACTGGGCAGGTGAATGGTGAACGTAGTTGCGTGTACGTAGCTAAGCCTACGTACGTGCGCGTACAATATTTACGGGCGGCACCCCGCATTTCCACCTCGTAGAATAAAATACTAATACATAAAAGGACAGTAAAACTCTTCTTGGACTCCTCGTACCAAAGGGGGGGGGGGGGGGTACCGTGGTAGGACAAGGAGTGGGCGAATCGTCCCACTACATCCCGAATAACGTAGACAGTATGGGCAGGTTATAGGTCACATGTGGGGGGTATGAAATCAAACGGGTCCAAATTATTGTTGAAAGAAGGAAGGAATCTGACGTTTGCGGTAGGGAGGGAAAGATTACTGATGGGGGTGTCTAGCTAGGTCGGGGAGAGAAAAGGAGATGACGGTCTGTATGAGAAGCTAAAATGATAAGTCGGGCGTAGGGTGATGAGGCGGGAGTCCAGCCGCCAAAAACGCAGGAGGATGAATGCGCCAGCGGCCATAATATCAGTATGGTTCCTGTTACATGTGATACTTAACTGTGTGTTTATGAAAAAGTATAATAAGTGTATGTCGGGAAGGGTGAGGAGGAAAGGGGCAGCCTCCGTGACATTTAGCTGATCAAACATGCAAGACTCGTGAACATTCCTGCCCGTGATCAAGGCCATATGACACGAAGAGTGAAAATAAGGGCGCTCAGGGACTAGAATGTTGAAACAAACACGCAAACCGGACAAGACACGGGAGCAAAGGGTAAGGATGTCAGATGATATAAGAGAGAGTGAGGTATGGTCGCTGGACCTGAGTATAATGTCGGTGTCAGGAGAGAGAACGTAAACTTTGTTGTCTAGGGGAAGAGGGAATGGGTGTATCCTGTATGCAGTAAAGGAGGTGTCAGGGGCGAGGGGGATCATGATGGACAAACCATGAGGTGTGATGAAGAAATTAAGCTGTGAGTAAAGAAGAGTGATATTAGTAAACGAAAACAAGGGTCGGTGGAGGGTGGTCGTGGAGATAAGGTTAATGAACGTCCATATCAATACGTATACAGCGTGCAAGTTTGTGCTGTTTTCTAATGATCCTGTCCCTCTCCACTCTAAGATGCTCACGCGCAGTTTTATAGCTCTCTTGTTTCTTACGCATTGCTAACTTGACGTAGCTGTTATCGTACACCGGTAAACGCCGTTGATCTAATAGATCATATGGTTCTAATAGATCATATCAGAGAAGTCGATGGGTGGTAGATATGCTGTTGCTTGCGGACCCATAACTGGAGCTGCCTGTTCCGGTGAGCTCAGGGTAGGTGTGACAGAGGTAACTAATGTAGGTGTAGGGAGGTCGAACTCGACTAATGGGAGCGGTGTGATCTCGCAGTCGAGCACTCTTGTAGCACATTCCAGGCGGACAGGGGTCTCATTGGCATTGATGACACACAAAATGAATTTACCATCCCTTGCCTCGTATAGTGCAGGTAAGGTAACCAAACTATGTACATGTATTTCCTCAGGTAACACCATGAAATGGTTGTCAGAAGTAGGGGTCCACGTAATGTGTGCAGCATGATCATGAGGTGGGGGGAGGGCATCACCGGTCAATGAAACAGTCGTCGAAGTGGGGGCAACGCGGGCCCTGGGCTTGTGGACAACCACTGAGGGGGAGGTGTCCTCAGGCTGTACGGCAACTACTGTAGCGGAGGTGTCACGAGCCTCGGGTATGTGCGTGAGTGCTGAGGGAAAACCGTCCTCAGGCTTAGAAACAGCGGTGCCAAACAGTGCGGTAGTCTGAGCCGCAGGCTGTGGCGTGGGTGTGGCTGGCTTGGCAGTCGGCACGCAGGTCAAGGGTGGCCTCGACGGAGCCATTGAGTGACAGTGCGAATGATGCCAAGTGCGTGTTTATAAATATACTTACCATGTACAGCAACATTATCTCTCGGTATTTGATAGAGTCCAGTAAAAACCATAAAATCATGACCCAGTAGTACATCACCAGGGATAGCCGGGCCATTAACATTAACAATTAACATTACTTATTACCGTTACACAAACTCCTGGTGTAGATTATTAGTCGTCCGGTATAAAGCAAGCTTAGTCTGACGAACCCGGTGAATGTCCGGCAGTCATCCCACCTGTGACCTTCACGCTTGTGGAATGGACAAAGGTCTGGCAAAACAATCACGAGCCCTATGACCGGAGCGGAGGCAACGGTAGCAGGTGTCCGGCGAGGGAATCCACGTAGCAGAGTCACGTTGTGCACAATAGTCATGTGTTAAGCGGGTAGGTGCGGGTGCAGGCGAATGTGCTGGCGAGCGCATGGACCAACTATAAGGAAGGCAGGAGGAGAAGCGGTCAGGTGAGCGTGAGGGTCGACGATCAGTCTGACGGGTAGGCGGGTCGGCGTGTTCACAAGGGCTGGGGTCTTGTGGGAACGATATTCTCTTCACGTGTGCTACCACCGCACCAGGGGACTCAAACACTTTTGGGACCCTCTCACAAGCACGGGCAAAGTTGGCGGGTACCAGGCGTGCATTATTGGGAGGGACATAATTGTGACTGATGCTTTCCACCAGCTTTCTAGGTAGTGTCGAATACAGTACTGTTTCAGTGATATGGGCAGCATATAATTTATGGGTGTCCTTCGGACTGTCACTAATGGGTTGTAGTCTGGGTGATTTGTTAAGGGCCGCGAAGTAATTATCTATACCATTCCTAACTTTTGAGCAAAAGGAGGTCAGATCTCTGGTAGAAAGTGAGTCAGGTCTGAGCTTAAAAATGTCAGTAAGAAGGAGGCCGACGTGGTTAGAAGGTTTGCCAAATCTTAATTCGAAGTTAGTCTTGAAGTCACTCCATGCGCTACTCGAATTTTCATTAACTTCCTTTAGCAATTCGCTGATGGCCGGAACGTTGAGGTCTAGTCTCTGGGTTACATGTCGGACACACAACTTGGAAAATTCAGGCGAATTATGTTCAAGTGTTGGGTCTCTATATCTCACATAGTTTTCAGTCTCGACGAAAAGTTGGGAGGGGGGGTAATTAACTAAGGGTTAGCTCGTTGTCGGTCAGTAAGAGAGGATTCAGGTGCAGTGTGAAAAGGGGATGACGGGGGTGGAGGGGAGTGGGCTGGAGGAGGTGAGGGCGGTGAGGTGTTGGTTGTATGTTCGTACGTGTGCATCAGCTAGGTCGCAAGATAGTAGCTGTAACTCACTCTTATCAGTTAGTTGTTTCGGCATGGGGTTTTAATGAATGAGTGTGATGAGTTAATGACACTGGTGATGGCCGTGGGAGGCGAGGCGAGAGGCGTGACAGGGTGAGTGGGCGTAGTAGAGAGGAGCGCCGTTTTCTGTTTTGCGAGGAGACTGAAGCATATGCACAATTCGGAAGTAAATCAGACAATACGGTATGGAAATGATCAAATAAAATAAAATATCACCTACACATCCTAACTAAAAATTAACCTTGGAATATATTGTTGGTGATGGGCTGGTTACGGGCTGGTGTGGAACGTCAACGGCGGGAGGTGGTGGAGTTCCTTCGTCAGTGCCACTTCGCTGGATTCCCAGACTTCGGCTCACGGTTGGGCACGGCTGGGCCAGTAATTCCCTCGTAGGGCGAAGTGCGCCAATTAATGTGTAACAGTGGTACGCATGATTATTTGCGTACTTGGTGAGTGCTGGAGACAGGATGTTGTCAGCGACTCGACAAGCGGTGTGTCAGGTGGAAACAAATGTAGGTTGCTTGCTTTGCTTGTTTCTTGTGCTTTCTCTTGTGTGTGGTATTTATTCCGCATCTGCAGGCTTGCTGCTTCGGATTGCTTGCTTTGCTTGTTTCTTGTGATTTCTCTTGTGTGTGATGTTTAATCTGTGTCTGCTTGCTTGTTGTTTCGGAGGCAGGAGTCTGTTGTTGGACGAATCCCTTCGCTGCTACCACTGTAGGGAGGCCGATTTTGCGGTGGAGTGTAGACAGGGCACGTCTGGCACGATGTGGTAATCTTGGTAATGGTGAAGGTGCGACAGGCTATCTCGTTAACTTGTAGCGGTTTATTACAGAGAGAGTATGGTACAACGGACAGTGGTTCGGTCCAGTTCGCGAGCTGGAGGCTGTCTGTCTGTTGCTCGCAGGCGACCCTCCTTTATACAGGTTGAACTAGGAATTCACAAGGGTTGCGATGTACTGGGAAGTGTTGGGGAAGGAAGTGATCGTGTAAACGGGGCGACGTCACGAGACGGAAGGCCCGCGAATGTCGCATCCGCTGTCGTGTTGAGCATAGGTATTGGTTAGTAGAGATTGGTGTTACTGTATATATATATTTATAAGTTAATAGTGTTATATGTATGGCAATAGTAGGATAAGGGAAGGAGACTGGTACGAGAGGACCCAAGGGAGTCCTTTAGCTAAAGGGTTATGTGCAACCCTCAAGATCCATTAGCGGGCCTCTCTGGGGATAGGCAAGGTGTGTTATGAGGGGCCATGTGTGAAAGAGGTCTTACAGTGTGTGTGTGTGTGTGTGTGTGTGTGTGTGTGTGTGTGTGTGTGTGTGTGTGTGTGTGTGTGTGTGCGCACATTCATACATGCATGTGTGTGTGTGTGGCGGGGGGGGGGGGGGTATACAATCACACACACACACATATATAGAGAGAGAGGTAGGTAGGTAGGTGGGTAGGATCTCACAAAGAATCCTACACACAGTTGTTTATGATACAGGACGTTAAACTGTACCCTGGGTTTCAATGATTTTACCCTATGAGCTCCTCGTGCCAGTGTTACGGTGAAGCTGCTGGCAGGACAGTGGTTTCTACAGAAGGCGTTTATCAGTGCGACGGATAGATCACAGCAGATGCAGAATATGTCTGGCGCAAGTTTAGTCATACTGAATAAATGGCAGAGATAACATTTCTAGTCAGATGGAACTGCGAGTAAAAGAAAAAAAATATCCCAAATATGAATCTACAACAAAATGGGATGCCATGGCTGATCAGCCCAATGATCATTCCGTTTCATGATAATGTTCCCATTACAGATCTTGGCACTCCTCTGGTGGGCCGGCTTCCTGGTCGCCCGGTTCCAGGCGATGGCTCTCTTTGCCGGCTCCTTGAAATCCTGGATCTTTCTTGTCATCGGTGTCCACGTGGTCTTGGTGTTCCTCTTCCAGACCGTTGCGGCAGGGAAGAACAGGTTAAAAAGAGTCTTCATCTACCTCTTTAGCGCCTTCATCTTCATCTTCGCCTACTTGCAGTTCAACATGAAAGCGAGACTAAAGGTAAAGGTATTGGAAAAGTAAACACAAGACGATCACTAATTTAGAATTAGCCAGTAATTAGATTGATTGATTGAAGAAACGAACAGCAGCACACTATGTTCTAAAAATCAGTTTTCTCACCACAGGTGGCAGCTTGGTTCCCATACACTGTATATGCAATATTGGTGTTCCTGGAGAACTCGGTCATGCTTGTGTTGTGGTTCATGAGCCAAATGAACGCCGTGTCCGTCTTGCCTGAAGAGGAGCAGGCGCTATACAGGATTCACAGGGAGCGTCTCATCCTCATCCACTATGGCTGCTTCTGCTTCGGTCTCTTCATGATGATCCTCACCTTCGTCTGCGCCCCAGGGCCATCCCCCGACGCCCGCGAGGAGGATGAAAAGGAGGAAAATGTGGGCCCTTCCGTCACGAGGGCGTCGAAGTTCAACCACGGATGAATGTGGGAATGGAGATGCTAATAATATAAAAAGATTTGATCATATCCTAGATTTGTTCGGCATATCACTTTGTATTCAAATATGGAGTATTTATATAGAATAAAGTAATTTTCTCTAAAA